CAGTTTAGATCACAAAATTAGTTGTTAAAATTCTGCCTTGCTCAATAGACTACACGTTGAATAGAAAAATGACAAAATAGATGGGTTTTTGCCTAAGCTTGATGTTACAGCCTTCATCTCCAGCTTGTCCTTCGGAGTCTCTGAAGCAGCTAGATGCTGTTATATTCACATCGGTTTAGTTTTCCTTCTCAACTTTGTCAGCAGCAATTTTTTTTTATCTGCAGGTGCAATGCAACAGTGGGATGGCATGGGTATATGCTTGGGTGCTCTGTGTTTTCAGCAGTGTAACTTTTTCAGCATCACCACTGTGATGGTGCTCTAATGTGTAGCCTTGTAATACCGCTTCTTTTTAACTCATCTGCACTCTGCTCCTCTTAACGGAAATCTAATAAAACTGAAACCAAAAGCAGATACTTCCGTGTTACATCTTTACATTAACATCTTTTTTTTTCTAGCAAATTGTATTCTTAAAAATAAGCAAACTGATTGAGACCAAGCAGCTTTAGTGATGTAGCTATAGAGGTAAGACTTTTTTTTTTTTTTTGGAACTGAAAACATCAGCGACAAAGTACAAGAATATGGAAGGGCAGGGTGGCTACTGAACTAGGCTGCCTGGCTTGGAGGCTAAAACTTGAGGTCATCTCCAAACTGTCCCAGGATAACTGTGACCGGTTGCTGTTGTCATATGCAGGCTCCTAAGCCTCTGTTCACATTTTAGTCTAAAATTTTGAACTCAGGAGCCACTCTGCATCAGGTTCACTGAGCAGTCCATTGGCAATCAAAGTGAGAAGCACATGGCTTGAACGAATCCTTGCCCCACAACTAACTCAGCCAGATGCGACAGGATGCTTTGAAGAGCAGTTTTTTATGTATCTCTTCTGATGAAAGAAATTAGTTTTTCAGATCTTAGTCCAAAACCTTCTAGTACATGAGTAGGAAACCCATCTCCAAGTGGGTATGCCATACTGCAGTGCTACTCTATAACTTCTCGCCATGCTTTTTCCCAGATTCATTTTTTTGCATGCCCCCTCACTAGCTAGATCTCCTACCACACTTATTTGCAAACCTGTTCCTGTCAGTTTATATCTCTGGGAAAAATTCTGATGCTGTTGTGACCTGTTGACTCAGAGCTGAGCTGTTCTCTGGGATCTGCTGGTGTGATCTCCTTGAAGGATTCTGCATGCAGGTGTGGGAGGATCTCCTAGAGAAGCCAAGTGTAGGACTGCAGCCATGGGCTCTAGCAGTCTTGCTTTGCAGCAGAGAAAATCTTACACATGCTAATCACAAATACAGTATAATCTCAGAAACCATTCCCTGAGGATGAGAAGAGGCTTTTTGTATTTTAGAAAGAACAAATAGATTCTGAAGGACTTTTGACCCTAATCAGCAGTGTTACCTAAAGCACTGTCTTAGGTGGTAAGAGATCTTTAAAAAAAATCAGAAGATGAAAAATAATCATTAGCTTTTTTAAATTACATTAGCTGCTCTGCTTTTTCCATTGCTCTCTAGTATTAGAAGCTGATAATACTTTACTGGCTTGTGGTGTTGGTATGGAATCTGTGATTGTAAAATAAAGCTGTGCATTACTAATGATTTTTTATTTCTATTTTTAGCTGAAGTTACAGTTCTTGTACTCCTAGACTCCCTGCCAATTATTTTTTTTTTTTTTAAATTGCCATTGTTACAGATTTGCTGCGTTGCTTGTTTAATTCTGATAAAATAGCTGATAGTTGGCAAGGACCCTAGATGATAAAATTTACCATGAAGTAAACAGGTTTTTGTTTTTAAAAAGGTAATTTTCCAAGCCTTCTGCATTATACAACAAATTGCTCTTTTTTTTTTCTTAACTAATTTATTTTTTCTACTTGAAATGTAAGTGTTTGAACAAGTGAGAGAGTGCAGCTGTCAGAAGATTAACCAGCTGAAAACTATTGTCAGCATTAATTTTGCTCTAATAAATGACTCTCTGAAGCTATTTAGCAGTCTGTAATCTAGATACAAGGCTATTGACCTATGATGGATAGTACTGGATTTTGTTTGTAAGCTTTGACTTAAATTGTCTACTTAATTTGCTGCAGGTCAGATCACAGGATTAGTGGTAAAGGCCATTATGTGGTTTGAATAAAAATAGCTAGAGGAATGGAATGAAAATCATTGTGTTTATTAATGTAGCAATCTTTGCGGTTATGTACCTAGTAAACTGGTAGCCAACAAGATGACAATGACCTGTTTGTGTTAGCTCTAAATCTTGGCTTCGCCTGTAGCCCAGTTCCTGAGTTGCCTGGGGAGGAGTTGTTCAAGTGAGATTAAGGATTGGCTGCAAATAGGGTGTCTCTCACCCTGAGCAGGAAGATCTTTACCACTGTAGATATTTCTGTACCTCAACAGTGTCGTATATATAGACTGGTATCTTTTTAAAGCTGCAGGTCTGCCTGAGTTCTTCTGGATGCTTCAATTCTGGACTCACCAGTACAAGAAAGATACAGATCTACTGGATTGAGTCCAGCTAAGGGCCATGAAGATGATTAAGAAACTGGAGCATCTTTCATATGAGGAGAGACTGAGAGAGCTGAGACTGTTTAGCATGAAGAGAAGGCTCAAGGGGGATCTTATCAATGTGTATAAAAACCTGGTGGGAGAGAATGAAGAAGAGGGAGCTAGACTCTTCTCAGTAATACCCAGTGACAGGACAGGAGGCAATGGGCACAAATTAAAACACATGAAATTCCATCTGAAACACAAGAAAACACTTTTTTACTGTGAGGGTAGTCAAATACTGGAAGAGGTTGGCTAGAGAGTCTGTGGAGTCTCCACCCTTGGAGATATTCAGAAGCCAACTGGACATGGTCCTGGGCAACCTGCTGCAGCTGACCCGGTGCAAGCAGAGGGCTTGAACTACATGATCTTGAGAAGTCCCTTCCAACCCCAGCAGTCCTGTGATTCTTGATTCTAGGTTGTAATATAGGTTGAGCAGCTACTTCGTCGTGGGAGCCTCTTTCATTTACTGTGTAGCCTATTGGCACATAATTGGTAGATATTTACTATTTTTGAGACCTTGATCTGTCAAATCTGTCTGAAATTCTTCAGTGACTTCAAAAGGTAGTGCATGTTGGAAGGCAGGATGGGGGAAATAAATGCCTGACAGATACAGAAAGGGTCATTTGTAGACATAGTCACACAGAGCAGTTGCACAGAGACAGTGCATCAGTTGAAATTTTTATGGGAAAGCAAACACAAATCCTTCAAATTCTTCAGCGTGAGGAGCTGCAATGTAACTGTCCGTGATGTTGGAAAAGAAGTCCAGTACCAACTGCTTCATTCTTTAGCTGTGGTACAGCACTTACACAGGCTTAAGGCTTTAAGTTCAGAGAAGCTCTGATTAGCCTGCTGTGGTTGCCCACTTTATCAAAACTTTTTGTGCAGACTTGGTTGCCATGGTGGCTTAGTTGTGGCCTTATTTTTTTTCTCTTTCTACTATTTTTTATTGCATGACTTCATTTATTAATGGGGAAAAAGGAAAACAGAAATGTTCTGTTTAAGTGTGATGTATTTCTAAGAGAATAACTTTTGCTAATTGAGGTTAGATTGTATTTTTTGTTTGTTTGTTTTTTAGAAAAGCTCTGTCTTCAACTGATAAGCTTTTTAAGAGTGCATTTTCATTTGTCACTACACAATGTCTAGCTCAATGAAGGCAGTTCCAGTTACACTCTGAAAACTATTTCAATAGAAACATTTATTAATGCTTATTATGGTAGCTAATCGGTGACAAAGAACTGTGAACCATAGCTGGAGAGCAGCCTGACTTACTGTAGAAACAAAATAGTCCACCATGTGAAGGAAGAACAAACTGTTTCACTTGGACTTTCTGTTTGTCAGGACACTGTACCTAGTTAATCATGTTCATTTGAAAGTAGGTCATTATCTGCAGCTGTAGAACCTAACAGCCCAAAGTTGGATGCATAGCACAGAAAATTTATAGTGGCTATGCTTCTTGCTGTAGTGAAAAGTAGTGAGGAAGCTGATGTGTTCATCAGTTTGGGGCAATTTTTTCTAGCAGTTCTACACATTAAATCTGTTGAGGATGAAGAGATTAAGGATATATGAGCAATTTATATTCGAATTAGGCTTCTTTTAAGAAATAAAATATTTGATGGACATGATAGATATCACATGAAAATTTTGATGGTTTTGTGCTTAGAAACTGTATAATCAAAGAACTGTGGTGTTTACAGACCTGTGGTAAAGGCAGGATAGACTTACAGGAATAAAACTGGGAATGATGTGTTTGTGTGTGTATATGTATGTGAATCATTTTTACATTGCTTTTTACATAGTTCTTTACATAATTGTATATGTGTTAAGTTTATGTGTAGGAAACTGACTCAAATTAAGTAGGTTTTTGCTTCAGATTAGAAATATAATAAACTGCACATTCAGAAGGCTTGGTTGCCTATGTCTTTTAGATGTTCAATTATGTGAAAATCAGCAAACACTGATAAAAAATTAGCTTAGGTTTTGAAAAGCTGATAAAGGCAGAGTTAACTTTGAGCAATTGTGTGTCAATAGCTGTATGTGAAGAGTAGTTTGACAAAACAAAAATTTTATTTAGTAATTCAGATACAGTGAATTTTGCAGGGTGCAAAGTTGCAGGAAGGGTTGATTGTTTCTTCATGTGAAACTATAAATATATATATATAAATATATAACTATAAATATATAAAGAGTGACATTGCCAGTTTTCTGTAAGTCTTGTAAATTTTTTATCTGCTAGTATTCCTGAAAGGTACAGCCTTCCATAAGGTGGCTTTATCTTCATCAAAGGGTTGAGAATTAAGAGTTCTGATCTGGTAATAGGGTTACTTTTACATAAACTTGGAGGAGTTCATCGTAAGTGAAGTATTAAGCACATAAATTTTACATCATCAGACCCTTATTGATAAGATAAAGTTTTTAAGGTTTTTAGAAACACTGGTATTAAATCCAATGTTGTCTTGATTCAGGTGTTGGAGCTGCTCGAGCTGGAAACCTTACTTTCATGGTTGGTGGAGTGGAACAAGAATTTGATGCTGCCAAGGAGTTGCTGACATGCATGGGTTCTAATGTGGTCTACTGTGGAGAGGTTGGAACTGGACAGGTAATGCTTGTTGAGGCCTTACTAGTTATCTTAGTCTGGTTTTTTTGTTGCTTTGTTTTTCTTTAATGATACCTAGTCTTTTATTCCAGAACTAAATGCATTATAGTATATCTTCATACTTGTTTGCTTGTTTACTTGTCTTCAACCGTGTGTATACAAAATAACCTCATGGCAGTTTTCTGCAGCATGTTGTATAGCTTAGCACCAAAACATCTGATCTGGTTCTTATCCAGATTGGCTTGTTGAGATTATACTTCTTTGAGGACACAGATTTTAATTTTGTTTCTTCTAAATTTAGATTTACTGAATGTTCTGAAGGACAAAATGCCCCTACATTCCATGTATACTGACTGAGCTATTGTACTAAAAAAAAAAAGTATTTCCTAATCTCTGAAGGAACCATTGGGCAGCTTTCATTGACTTTATACTATTGTAGATCTGTGCTTCCCAGCGCTACCTTTAGAAGAGAGCTGTCAGAACATATTTGATCGTACTGTTCTGGACCTAGTTGAAGACGACTCCTACATGTTAGCTCTATGAAAATGTAGAAACTAATTGACGGTTTAACTTATTTTCAGGCTGCAAAGATCTGCAACAACATGCTCTTGGCCATAAGTATGATTGGAACTGCTGAGGCTATGAATCTTGGAATCAGGTTTGTTTGAGTTTTGTATTGGATTGAAGCACTTTCTCTGTGCTAACAGTTTTTGTGGTTTACGGTTGACTTTCACTGAGGCAATGATGATTAGATGGCATAGATGAACTTTTGCCAGAAATTCTCCTACAATGCCGTGAACATGCTAAAGGGATTATTTAACTAATGTAGGGCTCTTCAGAACAGGAATATTCTCTTGTATTGGCTGCATAGATTGTTGCACTCAATGTCTGAAGTTAAGAGTTTATTTGTTCTGCTGTAGTGCAATGTACAATGTTTGTCTTGCATTATAAACATGCAGGGGTAATATAGAGGTAACTTTTTGTTTGTATTCTAAGCTAATGTACAGTGTATTCAGAGTATTATACTCCCATATGGCTCTTGTTGGCTTTGTTTACTTTGTTAAATTGTTCCAAAATATATTGTGAAGTAAAACGTCTAGTACAGTGTGCATATCAAGTTAAGATCAAAGCATAAAAAAGAACATCCACCTTCCTGCTCAACTTTACCACTGCAGTTTGTCCTAATTGCCAAAATTCCTGCTTTGTCAAAAAGCTGGAGTATGTTCCACTACACTCTTGTCAATGCTAAGACTACTCTTTCTTTTCTAGCAGGTGATGCACCTGACTTGTAAGAGGCAGCATATTCAACCAAAATTATTTTTCCTTTCAATTGTAATCTATTTATTTTGCTGTGGTCTTTGAGATTTTGTTTTGTTTTCCAACAGAGTGCATGCAAGTACCAGTTCAGTATCACAGTATTTGAACCTTCATAAATTCTCTTAGCCAGATCTAAATAATTTGCAAATTTATAGACAGAGAAGTCCTATATTTGAAGAGATTATCTTGCAATTGTGTATCTTTTAAGGGCTCTTCATGAATTATTTATCTGCACGGTTGCATCCTTAAAATTGGGCTGTTAAAACTACAGATATTGTAGATAGTTATCAACTGGGCTTTAGACCGTGTGTTCATGTGGATTTGATATACTATAAAAACAGCAAGAGGGCATCAAATGCTTAAATAAATAAAAAAGAACGCCTACATGTGCGCACATACACAAGGCAATGTAATGGATTCACATTTCCTCTTAATTACCATATCAAGATGCAGTTGTTTTATTGAATTGCCCTTGTCTCAGATGTTAGACTATCTTGACCTATTAAGTTGTCATGTTGTAATTGAGATAAAAGAGGAATTTGCTTTGCATCAGTGCTAATTGGTTTATCAATATCCTGTACCATTTACATTTTAAAATTGAGAGTCTGTAAGATACTGAAGCATGTCTGCATCAAGCCATAATAAAAACAGTAGCATTGTATAAAACTATTGTAATCCAGTGTAGTGTAAAACTTTCATCAGGTTCTGTTTTAAGTCATGGTTCACTTAGTAAAGCATATGCAACTGATTTTTCATTATATTTTTATCTACATTTGTAGGAATGATTAGAGTTAAAATTGAAGACAAAATAAAATCAAGAGTTTTGGAAGACAGATATTCTGGGCATGTAAGCCCTGTGTAGAATGAGTTGATGCCTGTAGTCACTGTAGCTTGAAGGTTTTTAGAATTTTCATTTTTCATTTTGTCCTTTTCTACTTAAAATTTTGGCTAAATTTGTATTCAGCATTTGTGAGCAAAAATCCAATGTGAAAGTGGCAATATGCAAACCTTCCTACCCCATAGTCATGGTAATCAAGAAGGTACTGTACTTACTGTAGAAGAAACCTGCTGATTGTAACCCAAATTATACAAAGAGCAGAATTTCTTTTAGTCTGAAACTGCATGAGGTTTAAGATAGAAACAGCAATTTAAAGCCTTATGAAGTAATTTAGAACCCTTGCATTGATTTTATATGCTGTGATTTAAATCCTGGAGAAGATGACTTCCGCTTATAACTAAAATAAGAGCTTTTCACTTCTGGTGTGTGCAAATTTCTAGTGTACAAGTTAACAGTTGTAATTCTAATCATTAGGAATTTTGCTATATTAATAAATTTATTAGATTTTTTTTTTCAAGTCTAAAACTCAAAGAATAGGGTGGCTGCCTAGTCTGGAGAATGTAAGAAGCTGAACTTGATTTATTAGATTGATGCATATCTGGTAAAGAAAGTCTGACTCTGACCTAATAGTGGTAAAGGACACTGGAAGTCTAAAAAAAAGTCGTGATAAGAATTGTGGAGCTTAGACATGTTCTTAACTTTTGGACAGAATATAAAATAACTTCATGTCATACGTTGTGTAGATCTGCTGCATCATTTAAATCTTGAGGTTTAGGGATTTTGGATAATTAATTATTCAAAATGTTGCTGACTGAACTAGATGTAATTAGGAAATTGTATTACAGCACCTTCCAGAATCCAATATATTCTCTGAGCTTAGGTCTTTGGAACAGTGTGATATTAATTCTATTAATAAACCACTTCTTCTCTAATGTTTTCATAAACCACGCAGCCTAAATTTTCATTTTCTGAAGCAGGCAGTTGCTGGTTTATTCATTTCAGATTTTTAAATGACATCTGCTATTGTTTTATTTATTTTATTTTTGAAATTACAGAATTTTTCCAAACTTAGACATAAGTAGCAAACAGAATGTGGTGAGGAAGAAGGAAAACTGGCATTAGTAAGCAAAAATTCCACAATAAAGTCCAGGAAAAATAGGCAATATTGCTATGTAATTTCTGTATTTATATTCCATTTAATTTTCTACTTTAACATCATCTTCATTTACTAATCATCTTCATTTACTAATGAAGATGTCTGTTTTCACTGGGAGTGATTTAGTTAAGATTCCATAACGAATTAAAAAAAAAATCTATCCTGAGTTCTGACACTGAAATGTTTGTTTTGTTATGTTTTGGTTTTCCCATTAATTTCCTGATGCTTTATGAATGTTGCTACTAAAAGTTAGAAGGTATGGCAGACATCCTGGAAATGAATTCACATTTTCATTTGTATTTTCTTTTTTTTCTAGCGTGATAGTGCAACTTGTCAGTAGAAAAATCTTGAGTACATTTTGCTATACGGTTTTATGGATAATGTGCATATTGCAAAATACTGTAGTGACTTACTGTGTAAAACCAACACAGAGTACATGTAAACTTCACAAATGAGAAATAAAAACATTAAGTGATAGTGTCCACAGCCACAGACTATTCTTCTTTTTCATTTTGCTGATCATCTCAGTGTCAGTAACTTTCTTTTACTGAGCTCTAATTTCCAAGTTAACAATGTCTCATACTAGCAAAATAAAGCTCGGAAATGAAATATTGCTGATACCTGGTTTGTGTTTAGGTCCAAAGGAGGTTGCTGCCTGTCAGGCAGTTTGTGGTCCCTTCAGAAACTGCCTGCGCAGACTCAGGGAAGGGTTTCTGTGGTGACACAAGATAGGATAAGGTTGCTTAATATGGTTTGGATACAGGGACCAGGAGAGCAATAGGGGCTCAATGGCAATAACCTTGCTGCAAAATCACTTTTGTACTTCCAACAGCAGAGACAGTCGTTTCTATGAGGAGGGACTGCAGTGGCACCCAGATTTATGCCAAAAGCTGCCAATACAGTTCTTTCCTAAGCAATTTTACTGTATATCAATTTGTGCCTGCTTGCTTTTTTTAGATATTTAAAATTAAAAGATGGTAAAAGAATTTTGCCCACTGATGCTAAGTCTAAACATATTTTCAGCCTCTAGATCTGGTTTCTGTGAGCACCCCTGGGCTGTAGATGGAAGACATGAGCAGAAAGAGGAGTCAACAGCATAGAGAGGAGCATGTGCTGCAGACTGAGGGTTGATTAACCCTGGGCACATCCCCACTGCAGATTTTAGAAAGAGTGCCTTGAAAAAGGCTTCAGCATGAGGCTATAGCTAAGTCTCGTGAAGGTTAGTAATGACACTTGAAAGCACTTACCTTGTTTAAAACGCCAATGGCAAAGTCATTTTTAGCTGTGGTAGAAAGGTCCTAAGGTTCTGCTTGAATATTTGCAACTTCATACGGTATTTATCCGCAGCACCTTGAGATGGGAAACTCTCAATGGTTCAGCAACAACTTCAGTTATTACACCTTAAAATGAGACCAGGACATAACTTTTTTGTGAGATGCCGTTTCAATTTTTCTGTCTGTTCCAGACTGAACTCTTGGAGGAGGGTATGAAAATTTCAGTATGTGGTTTTATGAAAGCTCAGTTTTGAGCAGTGGCTCAAAGCATTTTTATTTTAAATATTTTTTTTGGTATGTGTTTCCATTGCTGGTTTTCTGCTGTTCAGTTCATTAGGAGTGTTATTGAAGAAGCATTGATTTGAGGGAAGCAATTGTTTTTGCTCTATTATAAGTACAGTTAATACATGGACTTCTTTTCTGCTTATAAGGGAGAACATTTTGGTAATTGTAAATTCACACGCGCATGCACAAGCTCTTGCCACGTCCAATGGCAAGTTGTTATGGGGACTGGCAGACTGTCATCATTTTGATAGCTTGAGCAGTATATCTCTTGAACAGCAATGGAGCTCTTATGCAGAGAGTATCATATGTTCCCAGCCAATTTACAGGGAAACAGCAATAACATTTTATCATGGTTGAGAGCCCAGTAGCTGCTTCCTATTAAACTTGCCCTTTCAGATACCTGTCTTGGATTAATTTGTTGATTTCAAATGGAAACTCAGTCTTCTCCACTGAAGCATGACTTTCTAGGATAGACTCTCACTGAATGACAATTACTGTATATTCTAGCTGGTTTCAGACCATTACAAGCTTTGGGCACAGTGGAAGACAGAGGACTTCTTCAGTAACTGATTTTAATATATGTCTAATTTTAACTGTCAGTTATGTATGCACCAGTGGATGAATCCTCAGAAAGATGAAATGCAAAGCACTTCTAACTTGCTCTTATTAATGATACACTTGCTGCAAAGGAGAAAAAAAAATAGGTTCAGGTCTCCTGAAGAGAATCTGCATGGTGTTTAAGAGCAATGAAGTTTGAAGAAGCAGGGATTTAAACTGACACTATCTTCCTTTTTCTTTTCCTAGAGCAAAAATATGCCAGCTCTAGTGCAGACAATATTTTACATAGCTGTATAATGCACACATATCTTTTCAAGTATACTTTTGCAGAGAGCTAGCGGGAACACTGAGAGAAGAGCAGGAGGGTTATGTGCATTTTGAAAGAATAAGCTCTCTGTCTTGCGGTATACTCGCAGCTGCAAGTATGGGCCTCTGCACGCAGCTAGATATGGCACAAGCAGGCACTACATTGCTAAAAAAACTGATCTGGATGTAACAATGATAAGGAAACAAACAAGCCAAGAGATTTGTTTTGGCCAAAAAAGCAACTTCTGTGTATTTGAAAGCTCAGGCATTGTCCGCACCCAGTGCAGGTCTTTTGGATGACAACAATTAAAACAGTTATTCAGGGTGGCTCTTGATGAACACTTTGATGCACTGTGCAAGATAAAAGTACAATTCAAATACTCTGAAAACATATTAGTGCTGGAAAATACATTTTTAAAAAATAAATGGCCATTGAAAGCATTCGATTGAGTCAGTGTTGGAAAAAGATGGGGAGGAGAATAAAGCTTGATCCCATTCAGGCCAGCAGGAGACTTTCCATTGAATTCCAGGGGCTGCTGCAGCAATTCATAAATAAGACTGCACAGCAATAATGCTAAAAAGCTACCTTTGCAGTACAGTAAGTGATCTTGCTTTGCATTAGGAGGGCAGAATGAGACACGTGCCATTATGGGAACAGGGACTATGCTGTAGCGCCCGCCGTCTTAAATGTAGCTTTTCAAATCCAAGCTGCCTACCGGAATAAATAGACATAAATTTTAGCAACTATTCCATTGGTAATGAGCTTTACTTATTTGCAAATTAAAACCTTGAGTGCTACGGTGCCCGGAATCGGCGTTAGGTTCCCCATGGCTATGGAGATCTGCAAAAAGTCTGTGGTGTAAGAGCTAATGTGTTGTCTTCTATAAAGGTTAAAGCTCAGCTGATATTGCTTGGAAAAGGTGGTTTATTTTTAACCTGTTTGCTTGTCCATGGCAAAGTAGGTTGTGATATATCCCTTTTAAAATGTCCTTTTCTCATCTTGGGTTGTTACTGGAAAGAATTCCCTTGCTTTCTTCTTTGTCATGATTATAACTGAACATTTGTACAGGGCTGGATATACTGCTGCTGCTCGTTGTTGGTATAAATGTAATTGGTGTAAAATTACACTTGCAACTTGATATCAGCATAACTGTGAATCCAGAAGAGGGTTAATTTTCTATAGCGTTGGAAGTACTTTCAGGGTCCACATTGAGCAGCAGTTTATGCCATCAGCTCTGTGATAGAACAAATGACGTTTCTACTTGGACAAGCTTTGTTTTATCAGGATCAGTAACCTTATCAACAGTTGACCCAGAACTATAATGTATGTTTGCGAATAGATAACATATGTCACAGTGAGAGGCAGACTTGCCTCATAAGCAAGAGTATATAAAGAAGATTTAATAATAGCAAAGCAAAGAATGTACAGATGTATATAGTAGTAATATTTTTTGAGAAGTGTTTTTTGAGAAGTTTTGTTCACTTATTAGAGCAAGATCATTTGCATTATCTTGCTTGCTTCAAAAATGCACTAGTATGCATGTATACACATCACACAAGCAGTCTCACACTGCCACATTTGCTTGTGAATTTTTTGGTTTGTTCAGCTTTAGAGAATATAATTTTAATATGAAGAACAAGTATGTGACCTATTTCAATAGTAGGTAGCAGAACAGAGAATGCGTTTTAGTAATTGAAATATGAGGGAACTGCTGTTCTCAGAGAACCTTTATTTTGCTTGTACTTTCAAAATTGCTAGGTAGAGGGGATTTCCTTACTGGAAAAGGAAAAAAGCTCTGAAAACCTACTGCTTAAATGGTGGATTGATGCTCTTTAATTTCAGATACAGCATCCCTACCCCCAATATCAATACTCTGTCATTTTTCATGACTTATAATAAAGGGAGAGAAATGATGGTAGGGTCCTAAGATATAAAACAAGTCACCCATGTCTTGTGCATTTTGACATTAACACTTCTCTTCCTTGACCTTTGACAGATTGGGCCTTGACCCAAAGCTGCTGGCCAAAATCCTAAATATGAGCTCAGGTCGCTGTTGGTCAAGCGACACGTACAACCCTGTTCCTGGAGTGATGGAAGGAGTACCATCGGCTAATAATTATCAAGGTGGCTTTGGAACAACACTCATGGCTAAGGTATATAGTACTTGCATGTGAAGTATGTGCAGTTGCTTCTCTCTGGGCTTCTAGCAAACATTCTTAGTGAAAATTTATGATTATGGGGAAATACGTGTGCATGAACAGAGGGGAACCCAACCTTTTACTCTGAATTAATGAGTTGTGTTGGGGGCTTTTCCTTAGCCTTCAGCCTCTTTCTAGCCACTATTACTGCTGAGCCACCCAGTGAAGTTACATGCACTTCCTTTTTGAGTTCTGCCTTAATCCAGGAGTCCTGACAGATTTGTGTGTATGGCAAGTGTTCAGCAAGCCATTTTAGGTGCCTCTTGTATGGTTGGTCTAGAATGTAGGAGCCTAAGCTCAAGAGAGCAATTTAGGGAAATCCTGGTGACCTCATTAGGTGAAATAGTGGCACAAGCATCTAAGATTTTGGGCCCAATCTCTTCTATATACCTTAAACTGTGCTACTGGACATGCCCTCTAGCATCCCCTTCCTTGCTAAGCCAGCTGCTTATGTGATTATCTTTCTGCCTAAGGCCATTCTGCAGAAAGCAGACGGGTTTCAACCCACAGCCCTGCAGACTGATTCTCTGCAGGTACCTGCACCATCCTGTGAGCTCTCTTGAACTGTCTTTGTTGGTGGCAGAAGTAGCGCTTTTTATGAGTAATAACCTAGTAATATAAGTTATTTGTCCACAAAGTGGGAGATGTGGGTTTTAGGTCCTTCTCAGCATGAGGAAGTTGTAACCTACAGCTATCCCATCCCAGGAGAGTGCACTTACTGCCGTGCTCTTGGCTGTTCTAGGAAAAGCACTGTCCTGAGTCACTCTGTGGTCAGGAAAGAAAAGCTCTTAGAGGCCAGAGGAAAGTGGGCAAGGAGGTCAGGGCTCCACATCTCACTGATGAGGACACACAGCTGGAGGAAGGAGCTATAGAACTCTGACTCTTGTACTACTTCTTGGTTTAGCACAATGATTGCCTAAGGTAAAATATAAAGCCAGCCCTGGAAGAGGTCTCACATCTAAGCATGTAAGTGCAGGAAATAATTTCACACCAAATAGTAGTTTCATGGGGCTACTGTCCTGAGGGAGGCATCTGAGTTCATACAAGACAGGTTTCAGGCATACCAGTTTATGAGCACTCCCAACTGGTTAGGCATTCCAGCAATTTTCAGCTCTTCCACATACAGTGGAAACTAAGCACTTAAAACTAAAACAACATTCTCAGAGATGGTGATCAAACTCAGATATTGCCATGCAAATCTCCACAGTGCTGGAGTTCCTGTATGTAATACTTGCCTACTGATACTGTTCTGTCATTTTGCAGTTGATTTATGTCAATTGGTGTGTTTACATATTTGGTAAAATTAGACAAATTCTGTCCAGAGTGGGTGCAGAATGTTTTGCATGTGGTAGCACCAAGAAATTTTGCTAATGCTGCATGACTCAAAACGCCTCTGTGGCTGACCTGCTACATTTTATGTTTATGGACCAACAGCCAGGAGCTTTAATTTCTTTGAGGGCTGTGTTAAAATATCGGAAAGCAGCAGTTTTTACGTCACGTTCACGTCATTGAACGTGGGGGACAATAAAGTGTTATTTAAATTATTGATTTATAAAATGTGTTAGGTTATTGTTTGGAGTTTGCCAGGGCTATTGATTAGAGATAAGCAACCTGATCTTGGCACTGCCTCAAAGCTCTTGTTTTGATCTTGTGTGCTGTTTTCAGAATCTGTTCTACCTGCTGTGCCCTGTTCCACACTGCAGTCTCTGTTCTCATGATTCATAACTCTTATTCTTGTCTAGAATAACCTCATGGGGATGGGGACACATATGTCCTTCCGTTGCTTTTAAATTTCTTTGTAAAGGGTTTTTTTTCTTTTAGTCTGCTTCTAAGAGGGACCTTCATCTCCTCTGGAAGGTGCCTTATAAGATCTTCCTTTCACTGGAGGAATAGCAGCCTGACTTGTACCTGTTGAAACTGCCAGCTTTTGGTTATAAAGCATCAGTGATCACTAAGAGGAGAGCTCCTCAGAGAATTTTGTAATTGTTGTTCACCTCTTCTGACTATGCCCGTCCTGCCTGCCAGGCAGCCTTAAGACTGCCTTCTTTAGGCTGGAATCCTCAATAAGAAGGAAAGACACTGAATTCCTCTCATGCCTCTTGAACAATGCTGTTATTCTATATAGACAGAAGATTACTCAAATGAGTAAATAACCAAGACAGCTGATCATATTCAAGGTATTATTTGGTGCAGTGGTGACCTCTTTTAAGACATTTCTCCTTAGTTTGTAGAAAGACTTTTGCTACTGTAATTTTCATCCTGGTATGTGACATATCATGCAGTTGTGAATTGTTTGAGTTGGGGACTTTTTTTCTGGGAAATACAGAGCATGCTTTTGCCACTTCAGGAAAAAAGGAAAGCTATATTTAAAGGAGAAAGATGTAGGTACAACCCTGAGGTTGAGAAGAGAATAGTCCACAATGAAAACAACTAAGTGTGACTCAGTAACACAGTCACTAACACAGTTACTAAACTCCAGGTTACTGCTCACATATCAGATGTGGTAGAAGTCAAAAGCTTTCTTAAAAGTATTTTGTCACCAATGGATCTCTCAAACAAAGCCAGGAGATCCTTATTTTAAGCATTTGTCTTTCATTCACAGCACAGTTGCTAATTAAATGTCTTCTTTGAATCCTGAGAAGAGCTAGATTTATATCATACTATTCTTGACTCATGTCGAGACAACCTTTGAGCTTTTTTCCGAATAGCAGTTTCATTTACGTCAATTGCAAAATAAATGTAAGGAAACAGGTATTTCCGAAGTGAGCATTGGAAGCAGATTCTGAAAGAGAATCTGTTTCCTTATTCCAAGCTGAGAGAAAGTGTTTAGAATAGTTGGTACAGTGAGACATCTGGAAGATGTTGTCAGTTCCAAAAGAGTATGCGAGGAGCCATAAACTATGCTCTGATTTTTACTTCTCCAAAAAGATCAGCTAAGGGCAAATTTCTTTCAGAGCTGTTTTGTACTATTTCACTTGAAGAATCTCCAACCGCAGGAGGAAAGGTACAAAATACTTTATAACCTGAAGCTAAAGATAAGCTTTACTTCTATTTTGTATTTTTTTTCCTTCAAAGCTCTAATTTATAGAATGAAATTTAAAAGACCAAAACAACCTTCATGCACTTTGGAGTCAGGAGTCCTTGTCCATTTAATTGTTGAGATGTTGTCTGATGTTTCAATCATCTTGGAGCCAGAGCCAAGTGAACAGACCTGCTTTATGAAATTGTATTTGTGCTAGCAATCTGTTCAGAATTTCCAGGGATTGCTTCTATGAATGCCCCTTCAGAGAGAGATAGATCAAGATTACCAATACCCAAACCAAGCACCTTCACTAGTTTGGAGTTGGATGATTTTGTCATTGTAATATTCCATAACATGGTTTAAGCTTTATTGAATAAAATGGATAATATGGCAACAGAATTCACAAAGGGGGTTTAGAAGAGGCTAGGAGTATGTCATGGAATATCTTATTGGAAGTGAGGTTAAAGTAACTGTTCCTAGATTTGTCAGGTCATCAGTCTTTCAACAGAATAGCTAGACAAGAAGGAATGATCTGCCCTGATGCAGGTGAAGAGTATTTTGGATCCTGTGACATCTGATACGTATGTTTTTCCCATTTTCCTAGATCTTGAAGTCATTCAAGGGTAATAGGAAGAGTAACTATAATTCTGATTTGTATCAGAATGACCTTTATAGAGCCGATTTACAGATCAAAGTGACATTTAGAGAGTAGAGTAAGATCTTGAATTTCCGTGTGCTAATTCAAATCCAGACACACAGAAAGTAAAGACCTGTCTTGTAAGTCATCCCTGAGAAGCCAGAGGTGCTCTTAGCAGTACTACAATCGCTCAGTTCTTTTGTATCAAAGATTTGTTATTTTTAAAAAAATAAAAACACTGCAAATTCTGTAAACCAGCATAGTCCTGGATGGACAGCAAATCTAGGCACTTCCTACTAACACTTGAGAGATTCTTCTGCAACTTTCTCGAAATGTGGACAGCAAAATGAATTTCTCTAGCAAGACCTTATAAAGGCAACCTTGAGTGCAGGCATTGCTTTCATACCTAGACGAGATCTGTTTATACACCCAGGCCCTTGTTAGCTGTTCTTTCTTTCATTGGTTTCATGTCTGATTTAGCTTAGCATAAAGGACATTCTCCAGCCTAGCTTGTAATTTCTGTCCAGCATGCGTGCAGCAGACTATTTCTAGCTAACTATGGTTAGTCATAGTACTTGGTACTTGCCATTGAGTTCGGTCCTATTTATTTCAAAATATAGCTGTAGTTGACCAAGGATTCTTGGAGGACAGGTTTCAAATTCATCCTCTTTACACCCCCCCCCCTCCTTTTTTTCCCCCAAATTTAGTGTTTAAAAATGCAGTAGAATTATTTTCTGTATAGCTTTATCTTCAGTCATTAAAGAAAACTTTGAGTTGTAGCAGACTCAGGACAGTCCCCTAAGGAATTCTTCAATACATCCTTGCAGTTAGGCTGCAAACCATTCATATTCACAAAGTGGCCTGTGCCTCTCATTTTGCTATTAACTGGTCACATTACAGTAAATGTATGTATGCTAAATGGCTTCAATTTTGTTGTTATTCAAATCCTTCCTGCCTGATTTTTAACCTGCTTTTGGAAAGAAAGACATCCTCTTGCCTGAACAAGAAAATGATGCTGTTACAACCTATGTGAAATACTTAAGTGAATAGCCAGGGAAATTTTATTTTTGGAGATGACATAAAAAAGCGGGGAGAAAGAGTCTAAGTCTTGCTACAGGCTTGTATAGTGATCTAGAATCTTCAGATTCCTCCTGTCTTGAAGGAGGTTGCATGCCTTGCAAAGTTTGGGGTTTTTATGTTGAATAACATTGAGTTACTTTTTTAAAAATTAAAAACTAAACAAGGCTCCCTTCTTTCAGGACTGAAATTGTAAGGCTGGAGTATTGTATTTGTTGGCAGTCGAGTTCTCTGCACAATGGAAGCCAAATAACCTATAATGTGTACATGGCTATTTATATCCTTCTTGTTTCTCCTCTGACTTTTTCTCTTTTTCTTTCCTTCTGTTCTTCCTCTCTGCCCTCTTCCTCTCTCTTCTCCTTCCCCACAGGACCTTGGCTTGGCCCAGATTTCTGCCACCAACACGAAGACACCAGTTCCTTTGGGATCCCAGGCACATCAGATCTACAGGATGATGTGTGCAAAAGGCTATGCCCTGAAAGACTTCTCAGCTGTGTTCCAGTTTTTACGTGAGGAAGAAACCTTGTGAGCTGTCCTTTGGAAATGGACACAATAACAAACCACATTTTTTTATCCTTATAGCTCGTTTGAAGAAGTATGTGGGTTTAATCAAATACTGTGCATCCTGATCCCATACAGACTAATCATCTTTGGTTGTCTAGATTACAACGAACTCTGGGTTTTTTTCATAATTCTTGAAAAAGCAAGCCAGAGGAAGGGATTGTTTGGCAATTAGCCAGACAGTGATTCCTTTTTTTTTTTTAAGAACCATCAGGTTTGGGGTGTTGTTTTTTTTTCACTAGATGCAATAAATAAATATTTTTTTTATGAAACACTTAACTGATTGCATATAAAATAACTTACATTATGGCTACAAACCTAGGTGACTTTAATAGTAAGAGAATGTTATATAGTGACTTTATGATATATAGTGATCTATTAAAATTAAAAATGAATACTTTATGGGAAAAGAGAAGATTTGTTCAATGAAGAAACACAGCTTGAGATGGATTTTTTTTTTCCTTGCACCTACTAGCCTTGAGTTGATCAATAGTGATTTTTTCCTGGGATTCAGGTTGCAGATTAAGTTTATAGGCACGCGTTTCTAAGTGGAGAGCTGTTACAGCATGTTTACCTGATAGACTAAGTTAAAATAACATAGAATGTGTGTCCCTCTTGTAAAGCTCCATTATTGTATTTTGCTAACCCAATTTTATATTTTCTTGTATTCTGTCACACATTTTCAGAACTCAAGAACAGCACTTACCTGAAGTTCTAACAAAGTGTACATTTGTTTTAGGTAATTACTGAAGTATTTTAAATCTAAATAAACTCCATTATTTTGAAAAGAAATAAAAATCTATACTGGTAAATACTTGCTGTATGATTATTTGCTTTTTGTTCTGATACACTCTTGTACACACACAATTAACCAAAAACTTGTACTAAGTGGTCTTATTTTTTAATTTGCTTGGTTTTCTACAGTTTATCTTGCAAACCCAAGCTTTTCAAGAGCTCTTGTTGTGAAATGGTAATATATTTGCATATGTGCTACCTTAACCATTCACCATCTCCTTGGTCTTGCAAAATTACAGGTGCACATTTGGCTTTATGAATATAAATACTTATGTTGATTTTGCTAGAACTACTCACATTCAGACTTACTTGCAGGCTCTAGGCTTAATGGTCACTTATGCATTTGCATTCCTATTTTGGTTGTATGATGGATCCTTTTATAATACGCACATTTGGGTAACAAAATTGTGTGCTTGAATTAGCTCAAGTCTGTGAATAATCTTCTGAGAACTTGGACATTATATTTTAACGCCTCAGTAACATCATACGAAAGTCATTAAATAATACTGGTTGATCTGTTCTCCTTTCAGTTTTCTTTGAAAGCTGTTTGACATTCTAGTTTATTTGGGGATTTGGAGCTCATTAATGTTATATATGAATGTAGGACTACTGGGAGCAATCTTACTTTTAAAAAATTGTTCATCTCTCTTTTGATAAAACTACTGTTTCTACAGGCTTGCATTCATTCCTTGAAATTAGGCACAAAACTACCTGCACTAAAAACTATTAAAATTGCAAAGGCAACCACTCAAGTGCTGGATAACGCAGAAACGTGGAGCCATAGCTGCAGATGTGTGGTTCGATCTTTGATAACAGTATGACATACTGTAACTTTTTTTTTCCTATGGGACTCCTGCCTCACATAATACGAAGGATGGACCTAGTCCCATAATTAATTTGAGGTCAGGTAGTGAACCAGGAGGTTTTTACCAGGAGGATCCTGTTCATTTCAAAGTTTCATAATGGATGAGGTAAGGAATTGTAGGAGAGTCTTGGTTAAGTTTGTCTCCTCTGTATTTGTCTGGGAGTTCTGGCTGGCATCAGCAGGACTGCTGAGAGATGCTTCCTTCTACTGTCCACCCCAGCCTGTATCAGCATTGGCTATGAATGTGTCTGCCAGTAGCCCTGGACTTAGCTGTAACCCGGGGCTTGCAGGAAGCCTAATCAGTTGTTTTCTGAAGACTTTATATGCACACATAAATGCTGGGAGCCATGAGGAGGAAAGAGAATATGCTCAGTGAGACACACTCTGAAGCTTTTAGCTTCTGAAATCATAAAGTCTCTGTTAAGCATGTGGAAACTTCGTTATTATTTTTATGTTTCTCCCAAAGGCTTGTAGCTTGGGCTTCCTGGGGTTCATTTCTCCTCCCCCACAACCTCTGATCAAATTCTAAATTCCTACTCTGAAGCATAGGGTGCTCAAGTTGGAGTAAAGGCTGCCAGAATGCTATTTTGGCAAATCAACAAAATGTTCTGTGGTTTCCTTCTTGGAGGAGGATGTTGGCTGAAATTAAAAACAAAACAAAGAAAACCCAAAAAACCCCAGCTTCAGGGCAGACAGCCAGCATGTAAAATTTTAGAACAAGCAGTTAGTTTGGCAAAGTTAGAAACAACTTTTTAAATAAGTCTTATTATGGAAAGTGCCTTGAAAGCTTTAATGATGTCCAATACCTGAACCCCGTAATACAATTTATATTAGAATACACATTTTTTTCCTAATTCTGCAGGGAAGTATTGTGTGACTGGATGCATATAATGGTGGTGGTATTCATGCTAGCTACGGCTATTCTGCATGTGCATATGTATATAATGTATCTTTTGCTCCACGTGGGACGTACCTCTGGTCTATGGAAATTAAGCAAGTACTAAAACTATTGTCACTGCCAGAAACAGGTGTTGAAAACAGTAATTTGTTGAGCTGAACAGAAAGATTGTAAAATTGGTTGAATTTCTACACTAATTACCTCCCAGCACATACACGCAAATTAGGTACAACAAATTAACTGCATATTTTGTAAATGTCCCAAAGGGAAACTTGAGGTAACTTCTTTTTAAATTAGCTTGAATGTTAAACTAGCCCTCCCATCATGCTTACTTTGGAAACTCACCTATATCAAATGCATTTATTGACTAACAGGAAAACATTGACAACCAATAAAAGTAGTGATGGTTTAAAAAAAAAATCCTAAGCAGCCTTCTCTCATTTATGATTCAGTATAACCCGTCCTAAGCAACTATTTTTGGTGGTCGTTTAACAGAGGAGGCCTTCTATTAAAGCTGCTGAGTACTATATTGCTTTAACTTTATTTATGGCTCTTACAAGCCTCAGGAGGAAGAGGAGGTATTCTGACCAAGTAAAAGTATTATACGTGATATTCTGGCTCTGCTTTAATCAATGGGAATTTTGCCACTAAGTACAATACTGCCAAGATTTCGCGGCGTGTTGAATGCCCACGTGATTCCAGTGCAGATGTGGCCAAGACACAGCTCTGGAGGGGCCCGAGCACATCCCTCAGGCGGGGATTGTGCCACGTTACTGGCATCGGGATCATGAGAAGCTGGGGCAGTGGCTGTGAGAGGACGGAACCAGCAGGAGCTGCTGAAGTTGATATTGCCAGGCTCCATCCCAGCCTTGTCCCTCAGTGGATGGGAGAGGTGCTGAGGGGGGGATAGAATAGCTGCTGTGCCTTCCTGCCCGAGAACAGAGCTACCCACCTTCTCAGCTGTTTAAATCTTAGGGCTCTTTACCACAAGAAGACCTATTAAGTGGTTTATGGAACAGAAAGACTGGGGCTGCCCCTGGAGCAAGCAGAGGACTGCCATCATACAAGCGCTACTGTATTTATGCAGTAGATGTCTTCCTATGCTTTTAGGCCACCAGTAAGACCAAAGCTGCCCAGGCACAACTCTGAGGGTGCTATGGCTTGTCTTCTCCTCCTTCATGTAAAAGTAGGCGTAATTCAGCTTTTCTCAAGAGAAGTTGAGAATATTGCCTGCCTCTACAAGGCTGTCTAGTAAGTTGTGGAAAGTTTGATGCAGTTTAGAAACCTCTTGTGTTTTCTTGGTGCACAACTTGTAGAGCTACAGTCCTCTGCAGTATTTTAGACTTAAGGTTTGATAAGACCCCCTTAAAGTTAGGGGACTTTAAAATGGGAAGCATTTTTATTAACTTCAGTATCAAGTTCTTAGAACTCTTACTGCAAGCCTTGCAAAACTGAAATACTATATTTCACTGGTGGGAGAAGTTTAGTTCAACATCTACAAATTAGAATAAATGGTACTTTTGAAAAGCTTGAGCTTTCAATAGCAAAGATGTCTTTGCCATTCTGTGCAACAGCATAATGGATGTATGGTCTTTAAAGGCTGCCAGTATTTTTAAGATTTGTTGCTTTCTATATACGATTTGTCACAACCCATCCTGCTGGCTTGCACAGTTACACATTAATTTTTTTCCAATAAGAATAATACCAACAGTTACAAAGTTTTCTTAGGTGGACAGAGAACGAATATTTTTATGGCTGGCATGTTCAGTAGATGTATGACATGGAACTAGGCATTCATATGGCAGTGATTTTTTTTTGTTTTGGCATTCATCATGGACTGTGAGCACTTGGGATAAATTGAAACAGGTGGATAAACCTTTCTAAAGTACTACATGTCTCATAATAACTACTGTATAATTAAAAGTCATCCAGCTCTTCCTGCATTTACACCCAACTCTTCCTTTTGACCTTGACCCTGAGATGAGGTCTGGATTTTCGTTGGAGGTCAGACATAACTCAATTTAGTTTCGCTGAGCTTCCATTAGTGATGACAGTGTCCTGTTTGTTAAAGTAAATGCTATATATAGAGATAATAAATGTGCTAACGTATATTTTACAAAATTCACTGATTTCAAAGAGACTTGGAGCGCTGGACAAAACCAACTGAAATACAACTGATAAAAAGATAAGTTTGCTCATACCTGAAATGCAGCTACCCTGGAAAGAAATGCAAAAACGATTACATTTTAGCCCTTACAGTATTTTTAGAAAAGAAATTAGTTGTATTTTGTCCTGTTGAAATTCAAAGGAGAAACCAGACGAGTAAAACAAAAACCTTCAAATGTGGTCAGAAGTAAGCTGTATTTGGTCAGAACCAAGTGTTGCTGCTGTCTGTCTTCCAGTTTGGGCCGCATGACGAAACTAGCTTGGATTTACGCAGGCGACTTACAGCACCAACAGCTGTAGGAAAGCAAGTGATGTGCAAAGTGGCTTAAAGAATACTTCTTAGAATCTCTGAGCTGCCTACTTTGTTCTGAGTGCTTTCTTCCAAATGATTTAACAGTGTTAGCTGAGCTGTAACCACTGGTTGCAGGTGTACCTAAGCCAGCTGCAAGCCAGCTTGTTTGCCTACCTGCAGGTCTCTAGTCCCAGGGACTTTCCTGGGAAGCTGGGAAAATCCTGGGGCAGCAGTGCTGTGTAGACAGGCTGTTTCCAGTACCTAAACTGGCTAGTTTGTGGCTAGCAATAGCAGGTCATTTTTGCTATCCAGTCATCATGCATGTTATTCCATGGCTATAGAGCCTGGAAGCTTTCAATGACCGATATTTAGGAGGCTAACACATTGGATGTTGTAGCTATTACCTGTTTTACAGCATCATCTTGGCAGTCTGTGCCCTGTTTTTTCTTCCTCCGTTTGTACAGTGCCTTGGTCCCCATGGTGTTGTGTTATTGTGTCAGGCAGCCATCAGTCTGCAGTCCACAAAAAAACCCCAACTTCTGTCACTCACTGGTGGTTGAAGCTGGAGCTTCAGACACGTGGATTGAAGACATGCTTGGATTCCTCTGCATTTCTACATACAAGGTTTTAATACAAGCTGTACCTTGTTTGAACCTCTCTATTGCACGGCACCAAGAGCCACAGTATGTCGGTTGGTTATTTTTTCCTGCATTTGTCTGGGTTAG